AAATTTAAGATTAGTCACTCAGTTATGTCCACATGACCTTCTTTACTATCTAGTTCATTCTCTTCGTTGATATCAAACTAGCCACATCCAATTACATCTGGCTAGTTTTCAATGGTTAGGCTGAACTAATTGCTTGTAATGATACTAAATTTGTATCGAAGATATACTTATAGAATAATCTTCTATGATTCATTGCTACAAACTTATCTTGTATTCCCAAGGCACTGTCAATAATGATGAGTGCTTGATCGATCACTCTTCTTATTACTAACATTTAATTGATAACCCAATATTAATTTAAATGAAATGAAGCTTAGAATTATTTATTTTTCATGATAAAATATTGTCATCTTGGATAAATCATCTAAATTTTCTTAAGTTTTATGGTTCATTCTCCATCATTAATTAGTGTGGTTGAAATATTTAAGGTAATCAAAATAATCATATCATTTCACTCTCTTAATATGTATAGAAGTCCTGTTTATGCATAAGTTAAAGTAGGGTTAAAGACTATCAAATATACATCATTAGAATATTTTTTATGCAAGCCACATATCCCTCTCTCCATCTCAATCTCCCTCCCTCCCTCCCTTCATGCACAATAGTGGTTCAAATTATTAAACCTACGATTGCTATTGCACGGCAAGCCCATTAAATTAAATGGGCCATTTGTCGGCTGGGCTTTGTGAGCGATTGACATCCTATTTACATTTATAATGTCTAAACTCTTAATTTTTACTTCTATACCACCCAAAATTTTCATATTATCAAAAATATTATTATTTTTAACATTTAAAAAGTGAAATACACATTTTCATATACATAAGTAAGGTGGCATATATGTATGTCAGATCATAATAGAGCCTCTCTCTGATGGTATGTCAGATCATATGAAATAATATCATTAACAATGAAATTTATGATATCTACATAACATAAAGTCAATAAAATGTGGGTGTCTTCTGATTAAAGGACCTTTAGGTTTTAGGGTTTAGGATAAGATCATATAATCAGAAGGTTTATCATTACGTCATTAGATTTTGTCATAATTTGAATATGGAGAGCATTTCAGATATTTTAGAACTGCTTTTAAGATTTTATAATCAGGATTTTACTAGCCTACCATATTTTAGGATGTGATTATATTAGAAGATGTGATAAGTGCTACAGGGGCGATAATATTATTAAATGAAATGGAATATCTTTGAATTATCTTATAGAAGTTGAGATCTTTGATGTTTGGGAAATTGATTACATTGAATCATTTGTACTTTCTATAAATCTTTACACTTTGATAACAATTAAACTATATCTCTAAATCAATAACAATTGTGGTACTATGTAAATGTGATTCTCAAAGTGTTTAAATTATATATAGCAGATTTGGAGCACCTTGGCTTATTATTAATGATGAAGGAAGTCACTTTTATAACAAAGAAAATAGGCATTAGTTGAAAATTATGAGATTAAACATAAGATTTCTAGTGTTTAGCATTCTCATATTAGTGGATTAGTAAAAGTGTTTAATTGAGAAATAAAGATTAATAAAAAAATATTAATCCTTGTATGAGAGATTTGTTTGTTAGGCTTGATGTTGCTTTATGAGCTTATAAGATATCTTATAAGGAACCCATAAATTATATATCCACTTATAGGTTTATATTTGTAAAAGTGTCACTTGTCTAGTGAATTAGAACATAAAGCCTACTACACAATTAAGAAGTTTAACTATAATTTTAAATATTTGATAGACAAAAGATTATCATAGTTGAATAAATGGAAAGAGATTAGAATGAAATCCTATGACAATGTCAAGATTTAAAAGTAACATATGAAGAAGTTGCATTATCAGAAACTCATTAGGAATGACTTTGTCTAGATAAGAGGTTTTGTTATAAAATTTATGATTGAGATTATTTCCAATAAAATTGAAGTCTAGGTGATGGTGTCCAATCACTAAAGTAAAAGTTTACTTTTTTTGACCTGTTGATATTGAGGAAGGAAAGATTGCCTGAATTCTTAAGATAAATGGCCAAAAATTGAAACTATATTTAAGGAGTTATAGGATTTGCCTTAGAAAAACCTTGACTTTGACTCATCACAAGTAGATGATCTGACATTGTTTAGCTGAGGATACTAAGCCAAGTGCTACTTGGGAGGTAACTTAAGTATTAGTTGATGATTTAAAAATTCTTTCGCTTTTTTAAACTAGTTTGCTTTTGGTTGAAAGTATAATGTTTGTGTATTTGTGTGTTTGTGAGATTTATGGTCTATTTTAGGTAGTTGCAGCTATTTGAATATACAGTTGTGAAGCTGCTGAAGAAGAAGTTCATGTTAAAAAATTTGTTGTTGCAAAAAAAATATTTTTGAAAAAGTCAGACTGTAGCTTTCTAACAGTCACCGCATGTAGCCAGCCGTGATGGGAAAGTGTAGCTTTCGGTTGCAGCTTTTGGAAAAACCAAACAAAACATAGTTTTGTCAAATAGGAAAAACTGTGGTGTGACACCGAACCGCCATCACACCACTGCCCCAAACACGCCCTTACTTAATTAAGCTTGGTTTGATTTAAGTGTTTCATAGGAGGAAGAACATTGGGTTGTAAGATTCTTATAGCTAGCTCCCTCGTGCCCTCTTGAGTGCCTGCATGTTATGCAATGCATAATCGTGCTCATGACAACCCATCTTTAAGTAGCGATTCCCTTAATTTTTTTTAGGAACCCTCAACCTGATCTACCTCTTTCGCAAGTTTTTCTATCGTAGTCGTTGAACCAAGGTTCCTAGAAGGAGAAGAGAGGAGGGGAGGTTTAGAAGAAGAAGCCTAGGGATTTCTTGGGATTTTTAGGTGAGTTATTTCTACCTTCCTTCCTATAGATGCATTGTACTATTTTCCCCTTCTTATCCTTAAATTTCTTTGGAAATCAATGGCTCCCAAAACTAAGGGAATGAAGTGTGTTTCTACCTTTGATTGCCCAAAAATTTTTAGTGTCGAAGTTGCAAATTGATTCAACTATTCTTGCTTTCAAGGAAATTAATTCTAGAGAGAGTTTTCTGGGAGCCTGATGGAAGATTGATGGTTTGATTGTGAGAAGAGAATTAGTAAAATTGTGTTATTTTGCTCTACCCACCATTGTCCTTGTCGTCCTTGATTTTTTTTGGAAATGCGAAAGAATAAATAGACTACAAAGTATTTATTAGAGGAATATGTGTAGCCTTTGGCATTACCACAATCAATTCAAGTCAATTCTTGGCCTACTTATATTTCAGAGTATGATTATTTGAATTATAATTACCAAACCCAATTTCAAGGAAATTATGAACTTTATCGTAGATTCAAGCGTTCAATGTAAAATGTGAGAGGAGAATATTATTAAATTTTCCTCGTTCTGCTAAGAAAATGGAGTCAAAATCTTGCTAATATTTCATATTCGGTAGATTTATGCCTTCGACTAACACTAGTAAGGTTTCCAATCAACACCGACACGAATATAAAAATATCTAAACTTGAATTCATTCTCTCTCCCAAAGTCTATTGTAATTTTCAATTATACAATTTAAATATATAATGTTAGAATATAACTAAGAATTAAATTTCATTTTTAATAGTATTTTTAACAGTATATTTGGATATTATATGTACATTCATATTCGATTGAAGTACATATTTTAAAATAAAAATACATCAAATTTATGACAAATATAATACAAAAAAAACTATAGAAGAATGTACATGATTACTAAAACTACTTTATAATGTCATTAGCAATGCCAAAAAAAGAAAAATACTCATCACATATTTCAAATATTTTTTCCAAGGTTACTCTGCAATAGCCACTATATAATTTTTCTTGAGAATACTATTTTATAATAAAATAAAATAAAATTTTATAAGTATAAATGATACAAGAAATTCTTAACTTTTATAATTAGTAATATGATAGGTTATGAAAGTAATCATTCATGAATATTTTTTATTTTATCAAATGCTAGAATTTTGCATGAAAATTTTTATGATTGCTTTTTATTATAGAAAATTATCAAAAATATAAACTTCATTATTTTAATATTGGGAAATATAAAAAAAATAAAATTCTCCTAAGAATTAAGATAATAGAAATTCACTACAATAGTTTCCAAGATAAATATGTATATTTGTGTTAGTACAAAAAAGCAAATTTATAGATAAAAAATAAGAGAGAGATTAAAAATATCAAAAGGAACAAAATTACAAAATGATTTAAATTAGATAAGAAACAAAATATTAAATTTTTGGAACAATTACATACAAACCAACCAAAACTTTCTATTTATAAATCAACCACTGTTTTTCCATTTTCCAAATCCTCACTCCTATATCAAAACTCTCATTAAAACCTCAACCCATATTATTCATTCTTATTAAATCCTAAATTGTTTGACTCTGACATGCATAAATGCATCTCAATAGTACAACAAAATCACATGAGTGCTCGATTTATAAATATCAATATTTCGAATCATTTATGCATAATTAACCCCTAAAGTTCAATATTTATATAAGAAAACTGGTTGTATATTCTAGAAAAAGCCAGATTTGTGATGAAAATCAATTTAACCTAATGAAATTTTACCAAAATACTATAACAAAGAGCTTTCTAAATAAGAAAAATCAGATCCAACCTCCACCATCAACCCTCCTTCAATCTCCAAATAGTAGAATTAACCACCTCACTATTTTAGACCGTTGACATTTGTCCAACGCTGGCCGCCACATTCTCCTTCTTCCCACTTCTCGAATCTTCATAAAACCTAAAGGAAATGAAGGGAATGCCATAATTTTCACCATTCTCCATAATCTTCTCCGTTCTCCTCCTCTTCCCAATCTTCTTCAATGGCGGAAGATGAAGACTTTGTGATCAGCGACTATAAAGGAAACAAATTGCACGACAAATTGATCTGTTTCAACGCGACGTTGACGACATCGTCAGGGTTATGGCTCGGAGATTGGCCGCTTGATTTTGCATTCCCTGTTTTTCTTCTACATCTGATCATGTTCTTTCTCGTCGCAAGGCTCAGCCATGCCGTTCTCGGGCCCATCGGACTCCCGCAGCCTCTCTGCCACGCCATAGTACGTACGTAGGTTCTCAACTTCGCGTTCAGCGTTCATGCATGCATGCATGCATCATTCATCCATGTTATCATGCAATTGCACTATTAAAATCAATGCCCCTAATCACGAAGTAGAAGGTAAATATATGGTTTTCAGTAGTTGATTTAACAATAATTGTGTGAGCATATTTTAAGTCAAATTCAATTATAAAAAATGAACCTTTTTTAAATTTTAAACTTCATAATTTCAGAACTTTATTTCAATCAGAACTTACTAAATACACACATAGCAAGGCTTACTAAATCTTCATGAATTCAAATAGCACTTTAGTAGAGAAAAACAATTGTATAAGAATGTCTTCATATAATTTATATCAAAATGAAAAGGTGAAAAATATTTCATATTAAAATTAAATAAATAATATCATCATAAATTAAATTTGAATTACAAAAAAAAAACTAATTCTTTTTTAGATTTGAGTATTTGTCATACAAGCATGATCATTCTATCTTAATCAGCTAGCTAGATTAAAATTTATCAGAATATTCTCACATTTTTATTCTTTAATGAATCCCTTAACTTGCTTCCTAAGTTCTAAGAACCTCTAAAATTTGCACAACGAAAATTTTCTTAATCCAAAAATTTACATCATTTACACTTTTTTATATATTGGAGTGAGAACCCGAAAAATTGTTGAAAGAGAATACTTGATTTGTAAAAAAAACAAATTTTGGGTGATCCGTATCATAAAGTTAGAATTTTTATCACACCTAATTAATCAAAACTTCATCCTCTCCCACTCCGAGCAGGCCGGCATCCTCCTCGGCCCCTCCGGCCTCTCCCGCAACCGCTGGTTCCAACAAACCATCTTCCCCAAAGAAAGCTGGGTTCATCTCGACCACATCTCCCTCCTCGCCTTCATCCTCTTCATCTTCGTCATCGCCGTCAAAATCGATCTCAGCCAAGTCCGCAAATCCGGCCGCAAGGCCGCCGCAATAGCCCAAATCGGCACCGCCCTCCCCTTCATCTCCATATTCATCTCCGTGCTTCTCCACCCCGAGCTACAAGCCAACCAAATCGTCCGCAACTACATCATCCACTTCGCCGGCCGCTGGGCTCTCACCTCCAACATCGTCATTACCTCTGTTCTGACAGAGTTTAAGCTCCTCACCACAAAACTCGGCCGCCTCGCCATCACTTCTTCTCTCATCGCCGATTTCTACTGCGTCATCATAAGCGCGGCTTTTTTGTTTGTGGCGACGCTCGTTTATCAGTCTGTGGTTTTGGGGCTTACCTTCCTCTGCTCTTGCTGCGGATTCATTGCGGCAATATGGCTGTTTGCGAGGCCGGTGGCGATTTGGATTATACGGCGAACGCCGGAGGGTTCGCCGATGGACGAGGGGCTGTTTCTGGTTATTTTGCTCATGGCCATTGGTTCCAGCATCGCAGGTAAGGGTGGAAAGACTCTTCAATTTTACATGTCTGATATATTAAATTTGATATTTATATGTTAAACACTGAAGTATATAAGTATTATACAATTTAAATAATTAGCAAAAGTGATACTTTTAATGTCATGTTAATTAAAATTTAAGAGCTATGTGTATAAATATGAAAATTTAGGTGTTAGATACGTTAATATTGAGCATTGTGTGGTCTGTATAAATTGTAATTAAAAAATATATTACATAAATTTACATTTTGAAGAAAAATAATATCGATTAATCCATCTTCATTAAAATCATCGTCCTCAACAGCATTATTATTTCATATCTCCTAAATCATAGGCTCAACTCCTATTTTAGAAATAAATATTTTCCATAAAAATATAAATATTCTCAAATAAGTATGGCTAAGAGAGTTTTTACTTAAAATATTCTGATTATTAACATAATTTTTGTCACAAAATTAAAAATCATATTGAAAATATGACTAAAAATACTGACTCATTTTTTTAGAAAAATATGATTACTAACATAATACTTAATCACGTTATTAGATCCCCATTTGTCCACGAATTCACATCATCAATGAAAGAGTTGAAAAAAGGAAATATTTGAGCTAAAGAAAGGTGCAATAAACTTGCTCAGCTTACGCAATATTGATGTTGAATGATCTCTTTTTCAAATGCATCATCGGAGTTGTACTGATCACCAAGATTAATTTCTTCGTAGTTGCTACTAGCAACCTCTAGATTGAGCTCTTTATTCATTACATCATGTGAAAAATAGAAACATGTCACTACACTTTCTTGATGGGCAGGTTCAATGTTATTCTGAATAGTAATGGTAATGGTGGCTCTTAGTTTGCTTTGAATGACAACTGCCCAATCAACGTTATCTCTTGCTCTATTTAGATATTGAATATAGTAAATCTGACTCGCATGTCGAACTAGAATTAAAGGATCAAATTTAGCATATATTCTGTTCACTTTCACTTCTGTGATATTATATAGTTAGTTTACCCTTATTCTCCAATCAGGAACAAGATCGAACCAAGTACAATTGAATAAGAATACACTTCCTCCAATAGAGTCTGAATAAAATAGTTTAACAACTTCTTCCAGAATTCTATGATAGTCTATGTTTGACTTGTTGTTTTCTTTAACACAAATGCCAAAATTAAAAGATTTTTTCCCTTCGGACCAGAATCTCATATGAAAACTTTACCATTTACATCATAAATTTGTCAGATTTTTACAATGCGCATAAGTCCCCAAGCAAGATCTATCAACCCCTGTTCTGTCTCTCCATTTCTTCAACAAATTCTTATCTTTTTTTTTCAGTAATACAGTTTATGAGGTTTTTCTGGATGTCTTTTTTTTGTTATATATATATCTCTGTGTGTGTGTGTGTGTGTGTGAGGAATTGATATGTCAATTTAAACTCACATGTGTTGTAAATCACTAAGGTAAGTTATTCTCGATCTTCTTACTCGTGTCATCATCTTCAACTAAATTTAACGAATCTACGAATAAATCGTTCACACGTTGAAATATCATTGAAATAGTTAATTATCTCACTTTTAAAATAAATGAGTTAAAAATTGTAATGAAAAATGTCTTACTCAATATTGATTTGTACTTCAACACAATTAAGAAGAACATCAAGTGTCGCTATTCGAAGTTCCTGATCATTAAAATAATGTGATTTGTACCTCTCTCATGCTTCATCTAACTACTGAAAAATAAAAAGAGTCAATGGTTTAAATCAATTGATTAAGGACTTCACTCGACAAACAGTTCGATGTGGTTAGCGTCAAATTTTGTAAAAAAATATGCATAGTGACTTTTCATTCAAAATTTTTTTTCAACACCCACATCAACACAACGGCTGAAATTTGAAGCATATCCACTTGGGAATTTTAGTGATTTGAGCCACTCACAAATTGTTCTTCGTTGGGACAAAATGGGGGAATATTTTGTCTTGGGCGTAATGAGCTTGCCTGCAGTTGTATCTTTGATCACAAACTCGTCTTCTGCGAATCAAGTTTAACATTTGCGTTATCCTTCGTTTTTCTGTTAACATCTATCACAGTGTTGAAGATATTATCAAATATGTTTTTTTCCAAGTGAATAACATCCAGATTATGTCTGATAATGTTATCCTTCCCACAAGGCAAATCCCAAAAAATTTGATTTCTTTGTCAAATTATGAGTGACACCAAAACCAGGTAGATGATGTGAAAAAAGGTCAAGACATATATTAATATTTGGAATGTCATTAACATCATCATTATATCTTCCCTAGATATTCTTGGAGTTGGGGAGGATTTTCAATTTTGTTTATTTTGAGTGCATTTTTGTTCCTCCTGAAGAGATGTTCATCATCTAGAAACATACAATGACAGTCAAACTATGAATTCTTCAAGCATGCTGAAGCGTAAACGCCTTAGATGAATTGATGTCAAATGAACAGACTAACTTTCTCACGTCGCTCCACCCAGATAACATTTCATATGCTGGAAAATCACTTATTGTTCACATTAATATTGCTTTCATCAAGAAATTGTGTTTCCTGGAAAAATCGTACGTCATGACACTTATTTCTCAATGAATTTACAGTTCATCAATCAACAACTGCAAATATACATCAATCCTCCAATTAAGGCTATTGGGATAAGGTATAATCAACGTCAGAAAGAAGAAAGAGGTTTTATGCACATCTCATTGTGACAAATTGCATGGTGTAAAAAACACCGACCAATAAGAGTGGCGATGTGGTTTCACTGTATGATGTGAAGCTGTCAGAGCATGAACCATGCTAAACGTTATGTTCCTCTGCAACAAACTCAGGATATGAGCGATCAAAAGATTTCCATGCCTCCTCATCTGGTGGATGAATCATTGATGTTGGTAGCTATGGTTTGAGGGGTGTTGGATTGCTTGCACTGAAGATTAGCTCTGTGCCAACATTGGTAGGAAAAGTGACCATTTTGTTGCATATTTGACAGATCACGCCTGGTTTATGTTTAAATGAATTGCTTGTTGTAGAGTTCTTGTCAGTGAAAGAGTTCTTGCTGAAATTTCTTGAGTCCGAAGGACCTCCTTTTTTTTTTGAAAGATAATAGGGTTATATGTTGAGTAATCTCGACACATGCATTTGCCAGGTTACACTCCTCACTATGTAAGGGAGAGTAAAATTCCTCCAAGGTAGTTGGAGTTAGTGAGGTGCGGAGAGCAGTCTTAAATCCTTGATAAGTGGGTGGCAGTCCATTTAGGTTATAAAGAATTATATCTTCTATGTCAACCTTAGAACCTGTTGCAACTATGTTATCCACTAGATTTTTAATTACCATGAGATATTGGGCCATGGTATTAGTGCCCATGGTGACATTGTGGAGTTCATTGTTAAGTTGAATGACTTGTGTTCTGTTTGTTACTTGAAACCCGATGGCTAATGTTTGCTAGATTTTAACTGTGGTGGTGTGGCAAAGAATATAAGGAAGAATGAAAGGGGAGATGGTAGAAAAGATGGCGGCAGCAAGATTCTTGTCAATTAATTGCTACAAAAGATAATCTTTATTTTCACTTTAGACTCCATTTTCATCAGAAGTAAATCATGGTGGGGGAGCACTGCTACAATCAATAATGGAATTGAATTCATTCACTGTGAGAATGTTTGATACCTGTATTTTCCAACTAGATAGTTTTCTTGTGTAAGAGGCATGGTGGAAATGTTCTTGAAATGAGACATAGGAATTTGAGGGATGATGAAATGTTGATTTCTCTGAATTTGTTAAACTGTGCTGTGTCTTACTGACTATGTTGTGTAGATATGGAAGAATATACATCCATCATTGCAGTTTTTAAGCCTCTGATACCATAAGAAGTAATGAAATGGAGGATAAAGAAGTACAGAAGAACAGAGATGAAGCCTGGAGAAAGCTGTGAAAATAATCTTTATTTCTCTTCAATACATAATACATATTAAGCCCGCTTATTTATAAGCCAGGACATGGCAACAACATAATAACTAAGCTGACATATAAAAGTATCTTTACAACTAAATCTCCAAGTCTAATACTCAAATATATATACGATTAACTATTTATCATACACATGCACACACCAAAATATAACAGAACACAAACAATCAGCTAACTTCTTTAATTGCAGGGGAGCTTATAGGACAGAGTGTGACGTTCGGTCCACTTCTGCTCGGCATCATCATTCCCGGTGGCGCGGCCGGCAGGGGAACACCCATCCCCGGGGCCCCGCCGTTAGGAACGGCGGTGGTGGACAGGCTTGAACGTCTGGTCTCAACCCTATTCCTGCCTGTATTCTTGATCATAGCCGGTTTGAGATGCAACTTGTACGATGTACTCGGTGACATGCTATGGCTTCCAATGACTTGCCTCATCTTTGTCAGCGTGGCGGCTAAGTTTTTTGGGGTTATCGTCTCCTGCCTGTACTGTAAAATGAACCTTCGCGACGCTTGCGTGCTGGCCCTCATGCTGAATTGCAGAGGAATCATCGAGATCAATACGTTCAATAATCTCGAAGACTTCAACGTATGTTGCTTTCTCTCTCTATTTCTTTTATGAGAATATTAGGTGTTGCACACTATTATAAATATGCAATACAATGTATACAATGTAATTCTACATGACAAATTCGGACCACGTTGATCTAAAGGGGCAATTGTTCTCTTTAAATTCAATTTTTTTTACTTATATGAAATATCAATTTTGTTTTTGCACCTTTTAGTGTCACAATGTTTCTAAAGGAAAAATTATTGTTTCAAGATTCCTGATGCAAATTTGTATCAGGTGCCTAATGTCAAGGCGACACATGGCAACCTGAGCCTGAACTATGTATGTCAGTGGACTCAAATTGCCACGTGGCTCCATGTTATTGGACACTTCATGCAAATTTGCATCAGGTGTCATGATGCAATAATCTCTTCTGGGGGACAGTTTGCTCTTATATTTATGTCTTCTCTCCCTAGAATTTTAAACAAGTTGAGCATGAGAGAGCTTAGGCTTGACTCATGTTCTACTCGTTCGAAATTGGCTTGTGAACAGTGTTTGTGTTCGGCTCGATTTAAATATTCTTGTTTGTGTTCGGCTCATGTTCGCTTTGAAATTGACTCTTTAAAATGAATTGGAAAAAATAAATGTAGGGTGTTGGATTAGAACCCGCACAAGTTCTATGCAATAGAAAACTCAAACCAACATAACCAAACGAGATGTTATGATATAAACTTAAATATAAATATATATAATATATTATTATATAAATAATATATATAGTTTATTTATTCCGAACTAAAACGAGCCGAATATGATCAAACAAAGAGTTGCTCATGTTTTCGTTGTTTATAATTTGACTTTAAAGGATTTGTTCTCATTCGACTTAGTTACTTAAGGAATGAGCCGAAAATGAGCTGATTAACGAATATAACAACAAATTTTTTTCACAGCTCTATTTCTCTCTCTTTTTAATGAAACTTCTAGATTTTATCTCACAATTTTTTTTTTTTTATTTTGATCTCAGCAACTGTCCGGTGAACTATACGCCGTCAATATTATCGGAATCATCCTCGTGGGAGGAATCTCCGCCATGCTCCTCAAAGCCCTCTACCACCCTTCAAACCGTCTAGCCGCACACCGCCGAAGAACCGTCCAAGACTGCGGCGGCGCTGTCGAGCTCCGTGCACTCACCTGCGTTCATTGCGAAGATCACGTCCCTCCCCTCCTCACCCTCGCTCTTTCGCCCACCTCTTCCTCCCCTCTCTGCATCTATCTCCTCCACCTCAGCCCTCTCGTCGGCCGCAACAACACCATTCTCGCCCCTTATAAGAAAAAGCAGCGTGACAGAGGGTCATTCCGTACACATTTCGGCGTGTCGTCTTCGTTAGCCACCGTTGCGTCCGCCTCGGCGGCGAAAGCCGCCACTGAAGCTGACCGCATTGTCAATTCCTTCGTCTCGCTCGAGCAACAGTATCCGACAGGTCTTTTTACGATTCAACCTTTCATCGGAGTCTCGCCGTACGCCACCATGCACGACGACATCTGCTCACTCGCTGCTGATAAGATGGTGAGTTTGCTACATGAAAAAATTAATAAATTTTGGGAAGATTTACATACATACCACTCAAGTGTTATGTATTTACATATTTAACACCAAAATTTTAATTCTAACACCCAACATTTTCCTCTACAAAAAGCTCTATATCTTTGGCGTGTTTCCCGAACACTCTTGGATTCAACATCCTTTTAGGTTCGATTAGCGTGGAAACATGTCGTCAATAAGAAGAAAAGCCCAGCAACAACAACAGAGAAAATCAACCAGAGGAACATAGTAGAAGCTGCATGCACCAGAGAGTCAGTGGAAGAACTCGTTCAACAAGGTTTGTAAGACATGAGGACCCAAATCACCAGTCACACGTTAGGACAGTTTGCAGAGGTGCTCAGAGTGATTGCTGCCCTAGCGGCGGCTCTAGTTCCAAGAGAAGAGTCAACACGATAAGGAGCACTCAACCCCCTCAAAGTGAACCACCAACAAACAATGAGCAACCAATAGGTGTATGTTTGTGCCGACTAGTATCGGTCGTCCAACTTGGCTAGCATGGGCGATCAAACTCGCACCGACACCATAAAATTGACCAATCAAAATTCATGTGCCAGTTGACTGATACTTTCGGCCAATCAGACCGTCTGATAATGTGTTATTGATTGAGTTAGATGATATCATATGGTCGGTCAAACCTGTCTTGTGTGGGCGACCAAACCCAAAAGCACCTAGCAAAATCTATTCCTAGCGCTAGATAAGAAGGAAAAAGGAAAAAAGGTTTTAGGTATATCACCATCATGAAGATTTTGGATGTGTTTATTCTAGTAAGATGAATCTCTTCTAATGGTAGGAGAGGAGGCCAAACAAGTCCTTCCTCAAAGAAATGAGTAAGTTCTCCTTGCTGTACAGATTGTAGGAAAAGTTCATTGGAGTAGTCCTTCTCAAACATAAGATGATGCTCTCCATGTAGAAGAGACTGTGAGCTTGTCCAAATTCTCCTTCCTCCAAGTTAGGATGAAGCTATTCTAATCGTGCTCCCTGGAGAGTTCACCAGAGAAGGAAGAAAACGTCGGAGAAGAAAAAGAAAGTTGAAGAAGAAGAAGAAGTTGGAAGATGACAAACTCCCTTGAGCTTCTCTTTGAGGAAGATGAAGAGTTGTTCTTTTTCCTTGCTCCAAGCTCTAAACTCCAAGAAAACTCTAAGCTTATTGAGGAAGAAGATGGAGCTCTTCCTTGCCCTCTCATGCACTCACCAACAACCCAAAAGTTTGAAGAAATGAGTAGAGATGATGAAGGATATCCTTTCTGAGATGAGGAGGAGCTTAAACCAATCCCTCCTAATCTTTGCACCCCCCTCCCCGATATTATTAAAGCTGGCCTCCTTTATCCCCCCTAAGAAAATCCCCCCAAAACTAAAAAATCCATGCAATTTCGGCTCATTGGGGGGTGCAACACATCAAATCAACGTAAAAATGAGCCTTTTCATGATATGGAACTAAATCGGCGCCTAGGCGCCACAACCCTCACGTATAGAAGCTCAATATGGCGCCTACTTTCCCGAGTATCTTGAAAATGGTCTTTTTTGAGCATTTTGGGCGCCCAGAAGCTGGCGTCAGACTTCCATGGGCTCAGTTTTGGACGTACGGGAGGGCATTTCGGGCTCCTAGGCGTCGGTTTAGCCTTGAAAACTTTGATTATTACTGGGAGTGTCCGATATAGGATTTTCTTGATTCTAAAGCTACGAAAGACCCTATTTTACTAAATTATGAACCCCAAACAATATAAATGAGTATTTTGCTCGTCCATTGATCGGAGAATCTGTCACCAACGGACACTCTAAACTACGACACACGAATAAGGTTTTCCAAACCCTAATTTTTTCGAAGCTAACATAGAAGGACTTCGTGACTTCTCTTGACCTCGGGGAGGCTTTGAATGAATATAGAGGGACCTCTGGACACCGGAATATACATCAAACATGTCTAATGTCCTGAGCAGGCCCACTCAACAGTGAATTCTTCTGGGTAAGGACGAATTATCCCTGACCACGGTTTTGTATTTCAACACTTACCAAAAGTGCCAGATGGATGTCTTGAGCTATGGATGCTATGAATGAGTCATGAATCATCATGGACTAGTTGGGTGGACACCCTACACATGTGACATCAAATTTTGACGCCAAAAGCAAACACAAGAGGGAGAAGACAAAAGTTTTCAAAGAGTGAGAAAGAAAAGAGAAGTCATACATTTCCCATATCTCATAACTTATTTATAACGGTATGGGCACAAAAATTTAGGAAAGTTCATTATTGCACAACAATATCATTTAATTATTATTCATGTGTTAAAAAGATTCCTTTTACTTGTACGCTTTACAACTTCCAAAGAACAAGAGAATCGGGGGAATTAAACATGTATATGAAAAATACGCCAGCACAAATCTCAAGAAAAAAAATAGCTCGGGCAAAAGGAACGACTGACCAGACATACCTACTGACAGATGAATGATTAGATGGTTTGCGAGGAAGGAGCCTGGATCGAGCGACCGAGAGAACGTGTCAAATGATTTTTCATAAGATGATGATCAGCTCTCAGGCCGATCAGTGGATTACCTGGCTTCAGATCAAGTACTAACAGATCAAGTACTGACAGTCGTAGTGGGGGAAGCGGCCTACGAACCTCTTATCAACCGAACCAATCTGTCATTCTTATTATATTCGAAAATAATTTGTAATTACGAAGAGGCCCCTCTTAAAGCTAATAATGATGGGACTGATCTGTAATTTTATAAGACCGTGACATATTCTTATAAATAGAGAGTTCATATCATGAATATGGACTATGGATTCTTACTGTTCTCTACTATAATTTCTCCTGCTTCTCCCGAAAAAGGTTATATAGCTTGGGTGTGTTTCTATTTTCTTAAAAAAAAATTTACGTACATGCCAAACATTTATTATGTATTTACAAAACTAACTATAGTTTAAGTTTACATATATGTCATCTTATCTAATGCATGCAAAGATATAGTTCACCTCTTAAAATTTAAAATGATTGGAAGTTTTAGAATGATAAAAAAGATTTGCGTTGCATTAATATAAAAAGTAAAATTTAGGTGCAAATTTGTAAATACATAAAAATTAGGTGCTATTTATGTAAATGCTTTTTTTTTTATGAAATGCACTTCTCTCTTTCATTTCTTAATTCTAATTATTTTAAAAGAAAATTTTACATACCACACATGCCGGGCTTCATACCATTAAGCTTACTAATAGCTAAAATTTCCGGCAGTGCAATCTGATCCTCCTCCCCTTCCACCGCCGCATCGACGCCGACGTACCCTTAGAATCCGTCAACCCCGCCCTCCGCTCCGTCAACACCAACGTCCTCCTCTACGCCCCCTGCTCCGTCGCCATTCTCGTCAGCTGCAACCTCTCCACCCCACCAATTTCCTCCCTCTCCTCCCCCCACTCCCACCGGATTGCAGTCTTCTTCCTCGGCGGCCCCGACGACCGCGAAGCCCTCGCCATCGCCGCCCGCATGACCGAGAACCCCTGCATCCACCTACACGTCTTAAGGCTCATGCTTCCGCTCGAGAACAGGGGAAACGAAGAAGAGATGGACAAGGACGAGGACGATGAGGCAGTCGAAGAGTTCAGGTTAAGAACGGAGGGGGTGGAGACAGTGGAGTATAGGGAGGAGGAGGTGAAGGAAGGAGCGGAGACGGTGAATTTGATGAGGGAGATGAGCGAGAAGTGCGGGTTGTTGGTGGTGGGGAGAGAGGAAGGGAGAGTGTCGCCGTTTACTGCGGGATTGGAGATGTGGAGCGAGTATCCGGAGCTGGGGGTGATTGGGGATATATTGGCGTCGAAGGATTTTGGGGGGAAGGGGTCGGTAATGGTGGTTC